CCTTTAGTATCCTTTTTAATAGCATTATAACCTTCCCCTTTCAAGACTTTAAGTATGTTATTATGACAAATATCTCTTTAAAAACAATACTTTCTATTTAAGGAAATGTTAATCAGCTACAAGAAACAAAGGCAATTAGTTACATGCTATTAGTTTTGTTCCCCATACAGCGTCTTTCTTTGGTGTCTGCTGAAGCCGCTTATTCATTGGAATCAAATTAGACAAATAGAACCCTCATGTCTTCACGCTTTTGTAGCTTTGGGTAGGGGGCGGGGGGTGTTTCTGTGAATCTGTTTTAAGGGATTCTCAGTTCATCAGTCGAGTTACTGCAAACCTGAATTGTCTGGTTAACCTTTAAGAAGTTCTCATATATCCCTTTCATGCATGGGTGTTATTAGTAGATTTCGATGGTTCTACCCTGTTCATGTCTAGTGCTATTAATGTAATATACTAAAGGAGGGTTTCATCCTCCATAGAGCAGGTTATTGAGGATGGTCAAAGGCAGTTTGCTGGTCTTGGTCGGTTCTGTCCCCTAATTTGAATCCCAGAAGTGCTCTTTAGGCGTATCACCTTGTCTTCAGCGAGCCTAACAGCTTGGATCCTGAAATAGCTTCTGATATTACCATTACGACAAGCCAAGTTACTCTACTTTGGTTACACTTTAAAAAACAACCTAACCTCCTAGAAATGAAAATCCCCCAGCAGCCCGTGGCTCCTCTTGAGCTGCGTAGGAAACAATGATCTACTAGATTCCTGGAGTTCCTGTCTGCTGGGTGAACGCATCCCGAGAATGCAGTCTCTGGAAGCAGCCAGTGAGCCTGGCAGACGCGATTTATCATATCGGCCATGCCTCCTTTCTGACTCATATGCATGTTTAGCTTCTCTGCTTTCCATTTAGAAAAAAGACTTTCTGGGTCTAACAGTAATTTGACCTCTGCAGTGCCTGGCATTAGTTTAATAAAAGGTCATATTCCTCACTTGTCAAAACCAGCGTGAGCAGAAATTCATTTGGCAGAGCACAGAGCTGGTGGCAGCTGTAGGTGGGCAGAAATAGCGGCGAGCTCCAATAATGGAAGGGCCCCTAAATACTGGGACCTTAGAGTTTTATTGTCTTTTCCTCCTCCTTTACACTCTGGTTATTTCTTTTGTTCGTAGACCAAATGTAATGGTTGATGGTTGTATCTCATGAGATAAACCTGGGGTTTTTCATTATTCAGATCTGAGGCTGTCCTACTGTGTGACTTTTCAGTAGAAGTTTTATGTTTGTTTTAAGTTTTTACATGGATTATCTTCCTTTTCTCCCCATCTTCAGAGCATGACTTAAATTTGGGCAGCATCTATGACAAAAGAAAGCAGGAGATTGATTTAGTTTCTTTTATTAAGCTGGGATAGGGGAGCTGGGTGCTGTGTATTGTTATTGCCCCTCTGAGAATAAAGATTTTTACTTGCCTCGAGCACTTGGTATAGTTATTAAGTTTCATCTTCTCTCTCCTATCTTTCCTTTGGCTGGCTGCCTACCTGGCACTGATAGCATCAGACTTCGAGTTTCACCTGCCAAGACGATTATTTATGCAACACACATGCTTCCTGAAAGGGTTTTACTGTATTTTCTAGAATCTTAACTTTGTATCATGAAATGATGACATTTATCCTTTTTTTGTGGTTTGGGTTTTGTACACAAATGTAGAAAAATTGACATCAGATCCCCTAAGAAAGTCATGATTTTCTTGTATGTGAAGACTAATCTGTAATAATAAAAGGGTAATATTCTAATTAAAACAGACATCTTCCGGACATCATTCTGGACGTCCTTCCTGAAAAGCTAGAGCTGGAGAGAAGCCAGCCCAGGTCCCGGGTGCCTGTGGGTGGCTCGAGGGAAGCCAGCCCGGGTTGGGTGCCTGTTTGGGGGTGCGTGGAGGGAAGCCAGCCCGGGTCCTGGGTGCCTGTGGGTGGCTCGAGGGAAGCCAGCCCGGGTCCTGGGTGCCTGTGGGCAGCCGGAGGAGGGAAGCAGCCTGGGTCCTGGGTGCCAGAGGGAAGCCCGTGCCGGCAGCTGTGGGAAGGAAGGCCTACTCTTGCATGAATTTTCGTGCATCGGGCCTCTAGTTTCTTTTATATTAAAAAACAAAGAAATGTGTATAAGTACTTGTTGTGCCCTTTTTTTTAATGTAGTGTGATCAATTTCATTTTCTTGTTTTAAAGACTACATTTCAGGACCCTTTTTAGGTTTCTTTTTTTAGAATACAGAGTCCTTAAGTGGTAGTTAATAGGATTCAAGAAAAACAGTTGCAGATCAGAAACAGATTCTAACTGGTGATTTTAATAAATTTTCCATGGTTCAATAGGTTAATTCCATTAATTGACTTCAAGTTCAGAAGTAACATCCTTACAGTAGCATCTAGTAGTCTTGTCTTTGGCAAATTATTATGCTATTCAGTATTAGCATGAAAATTTCAAGGTACAACCTGAAATGAAAATAAATGAAAAACATACTTGAATATTGGAATGGCAGGTACATCCCTTCCCTAAGTATATGGGAATTTGCCTTCTCTGCATTCCATTTAGAAATAAGATTTCTGTGTTTAATAATAATTTGACATTTAGTGTCCCCATTCACCAGTATTTAGGAAGAACTTGCTCCAATACCCATTGCCTATTTGTAGATTATCAAAATCTCCAAATTTCCTTCCTATTTTGAGTTGAGAAATGAGATCTTAGCCCTTGGTGGGGAAAAAAAGAAAGACAAAAGGAAGAAAGAAAGAAGAAAACCTCAGTACAGTGAAAATGACATCCTACATCCTGTTATTTAATTTTATTATTCAATTTATTCTATTATTTAATTTCTGATGAGTAGTCACTTTTATATGATTCATTCCATTCACATAAAATTGATATTTTTCAGGGTTGATTTTTTGGAGCTATGGGCTTTGAAAAGTAATATACTTAAAAATGACAGTATTGTAGCATTTAATATAGCAATTTTTTCAGGGCAATTTCCTAAGAGTTTTAGCTGCATAATTATGATTTCCATATTCGCTTCTCACAAGTATGTGGTTATTATCAATTTGCATTGTTTGCAACAGCAAAATGAAAAATAAAAAGGACTTCTAATAACTCTTTTCTTCGTTTCCAGAAAAGTGACTTCAGTGTATAGTGTTTTTTATTCCTCTCACTGTTAGTTTATTGCAGATCATTTCAGGTGCTTCCTGTGGTTCTGGTAATCACCCAGTTTGCACCCATTTCCTAGCAGTAGCACAGCAAAGATGCCTCTCCACCTCACTCCTCCTTCCCTCCTTCATCTTGGAAATACCGCACTAATCTAGGAAACCTTACAAGGGGAAGGGATCTCCACAAACTAATTAAATTCACATCTCATAATTTTTTTCAGTTAAGAAACAGGAAATTTAAGAAAACACCCCTTCCCTCGCCCCAAAGATGATACCAATACTAATAGTAGGGCTGTGATGGGAACCTGGCTTCCCAAGGAAACCAAGATGAGAGTCAGAACCCACACCAGGTCCGGAGGAGAACCACGTGGGCAACATGCTAGAGGGGAGGCAGAGAAGATCGCGGTGGCAAACAAATAGTGTTGAACTTTGTTATTTTCTTCCTTTGTGAATCTAGGGATTGATTTCAAAATAAATGTTAGCTACGGTCACTTAAAACTATTTTTCCGTGACATATAACTGGAAAACAGTAGGAGAGAAGAAAAATTGAAGAAGGGATTAGAAAGTGGAGAATAAAATGGAAAAGTAAAATGTTTTTGGTTTTAAAAAATGTCCAACTCTAACATAATTTTAAAAATCCAAGGATGTAAGACAAGTGCAGAGAAATAGGAAAAATAGTTAAAATGCCCCCTCTCAAACCACCATCAGTAGTGTTTCAGCATATTTGTCACATCTTTTTATTTGGGGGAGGGGTGTTCATTTTTATTACCCCCCTCATATATATATATATTTTGTATGGAGGTCATGTGGCTTATCATGAATCACTAGTATTTCTCATGTCGTATTATACACATTTTTCAGATGTAACATTTATTATTTGCATGATGTTTCATCCGTATTCCATGGTTTATTTCACCATCAATTCCTATAGTATTTGATATTTGGGGTACTTATAATCTTTGCTAAGTAATTAACATGATGAGTATCCTTGTAGGTAAATACCTACATTTTATATGATTCTCATATCCTAGTAAAAGAGGTCTAAAGCTGGAAACACAAAATGAATAGTTAGTAGAATTTTCAGGGGATGGGTCATGTTAGGAGCACTTAAAGGAGACAGAGGGCTTTAGGAAGCCTCTAGTTTCTATCCTTTCATAGTTAGGAAACTTTAACTCTAAACATTTCTTAAGAGAAACGCTTTTTTTCTTTGCTATGACTTTGGAGGCTTCTTGACTCAACTTTGATGCAGATTGCAGAGTTAAGTTTCAAGGAAGGCAGCCCATAATATCTGGGTTAGAGTCGCTTTCCCATTTTCCCATTTTCGCTTCTTGCCAGACCTTCTAATTCAGGGCTACCTGTCTTGCCTCTTTAACATTTCCTAGAATTTATCTTAAATCTCACTAATTTTAATAGCTGAGTGGTGGCCATGCTGCTTTCTGGCAGTGTCCTGATAGCAGCAACAAAGCAAAGAGCTCATATTTCTCTCACAGTGATTGATGAGCTCATTTTGTTACAGAGGACAAATTGGATTTTTTTAAATACTTGTAATAAAAATTAATGTGTGATGTTGCTTTTTGGATGTTATTGGATCTCTGCCTTAATACAGATTTCTTCAATAAAAAGCATGAGCTGATAACTTGACCAAAAAGTTACCTGTCTCCCCCTTTAGCTACCTTCAGAAGTGAAGGTGCTTCTTTAATGCTGTAATCCTGGCACATTTAAGCATGTGTGTTTGTATGTTTGTATCGATGGAAATGGGGAGGGCTATGGTAGGGGGGTGGGAATAGTCTGTGTTTGAATTTTCCATCTAATTATGATCCATTCTTTTTATTTCAGCACCTCCGAGGTTTACACGGACTCCTGTTGACCAGACAGGGGTCTCTGGTGGCGTTGCCTCTTTCATTTGCCAAGCTTCAGGAGACCCAAGACCTAAAATTGTCTGGAACAAAAAAGGAAAGAAAGTCAGCAATCAGAGATTTGAGGTATTAGGTCCATTGTTCTGTTTCTCTGGGGGAAGAACGTACCTGTGTGTCTTTGGTTTGGATGTTACTTGCTTGTTTACTCTGTTATAAGATGTCATCGTCCCTGAGATATGGCATTCTTTATGTTGCATGTGATGGAAAATTCAGCTTTCCAAAGGCTTTTAAAGAAGAGAAATATGGGTGTTCAGATTGCTCACTTTGTCTCTGCATGTACCAAGGCTCAACTAGTGTTCCTAGCATCTATCTGAGAGCCCCATCCTCAGATGGAGTCACTCATCCTCCCACAACCGAGCTTAGAGGATAAGTGATGGCTTCCTATGACAGTGTCTGTCATTAGCTCTTTCTGACTTACATGTTCATCCTTAAACCAATTGGTGTGGACAGATAGACAGTACTGTTTAAGTTAATTAGAATCTACCTCTTTTGCTGGGAATGAAGTTAGTCCCATTCAACCCCATGGCCTGGAATGAGGGAGCTGTGTTTTCCCAAAGGGATCAAGTTCCTATTACCAGGAGCAAGGGGAATAGCGGACAGAAAATGAAGTTGCCCACTCCACCTTGCACCTGTGTTTTGCAATTATCATAAACTAGAATAAGAAATTTGCTCTAGTGTGTTAATACAAAGTAATACTCTCTAACAAACAGAGCCAACCAGGTTGAAGTTGCAGTTAAACCAATTGAAGAAATCAATTTTCTTTATTCAGAAAGCTCAGTACAATGAAGAGGATGGAAAATAATTCAGATATTATTTTTGTATTTGCGAGAACCCATGATTTAGAAATTTGCTCATTCTGGGTGAGAAAAATAGGTGGTAAGCTACATAGAAAAATATTGGAAGAAACACAAAATATTATGCTTATAATTTAAGATATAAAGAGAATAGCTTTATTTTTAGATGATACTAAGACTTTCAAATGATAAAACTCACTTCCTCATTGTTGAGTTTCTAATCTACTTCATAACCTTATTCACAAATTGGCAAATCAAAGGCAATTTCTAGTTAAAGAAACGTAGCAACTACAAAGTTCAGAACTATTTGATAATACTCATTTTTCACTGGTAATCACAGAGCAATCAATGGTCTAAATGCATAAAGGATCTAATTAATTACACTAGTGAAAAATGAAATATGGACTGTAGTTTACAAATAAAAATATTTTAATTGTTTATTTGAAAGTCAGATCTCTACAGTGATTTGGAAATAAATAAAAGCTAATCTTAAATAATCTTTGGGAAATATTTCCTACATCCTTTAGAAAATGATGTGTGTACATCTTTGGTGCACATTTTAAAAAAAATTTAAAAGGGCAATTTTTGTCAAAGAGTAGTTTGATATCATGCCTGCTAATGATGATGGCTTCTTGACAGAATCATAATTACAATGGTAAATATTCAAAGCACAAACTCTGTTTAGCACAAAATTCCTAATCAGAGTCACATAAATACTTTTAGGAAAAATTATTTATTTTCACACAAAGCTCCTTCATCAAATAGTATCGAGTCTTGGGTTGGGAATCTTTGTTATCTGTAACATTATATATGTCTATTTTGGGTTTCATTCATTTATAAGGCCCATGAGAGCAATAGGTAAAACTGATTTTGTTTCTTCTTCTATCTCCAGTGCCAAATACAGTGTCTGACCTAGTTTAGGTACACTTCATTAAATACTGGATATTAAATAGGGTTTTCAAATCAGAAATTACAACACCAGCTTTGAACATGCGGTATAGTGTTTGCTGTAAGAGTTTAGCTCTAAATCTAGGAAATAGTTCAGAAAGGTAAACATACAATGACTGTTAACATTTAATGAATCAGAATTTAAATTGGTGTTAAAGATGTTTAATTCTTTCTCTCCATTAAGCCATAAGATGCTCATAAATGCTTTTTTTTTTAAATGTTTGACAAATCCTATATAATAAAAGCGCAGTATTCAAATTGTCCCCTTGACCAGTGTTCTTCCAGGAGTTCGACCAGGGGGTGGGCCGGCTGGGAAAAGGGAGGGAGGCCCTGATGCTGACAGTTGGCCTGGGAAGGGAGGGAGGCCCTAGCCAAGAGGGGTAGTGGTGGCGGCAGCAGTGGCCAGGCAGGCGGCCAGGGGGAAGGGAGTACTGGCCACAGCCAGCAGCTACTAGGGACCCTACCAGTGCACAACTTTTGTGCACTGGGCCTCTAGTATTCTTATAACTGTGAAACTCCCAAGGTGCATAGTAGATTCATTCTACATACAAGCTTAGTAGAGTTGAAAGTGGATTGTGTTGCATTGAGAAGTGGGACATTTTGGCTATCTCTGTGGATTTCAAACATAAAGAGAATGCAGAAAAAAACTTGAAATGGATATATTTTTAAAATATCCCACCTCTTTTTTTTTTCTTATGCTGACATACATACTCTCACACAACATCCTGGGTTGAACATTCCATAAATGTATTTATAAGGCATTCTCTCTTTATTCATACTTTAAGCCCGTGTACATACCATTCACAGGGAAATGCAGGGAAAAAAACACAGTATCTCAGCGAACAGCTAAAAGAACTCAGCATAGTTACAGAAAAGACAGGTAGAAGAGCCCATAGTTTTGAATACATATTTATTAATATCATCATCATTATTGCTTAAAAGTAGTACTTGAAGTGGCTGATAAATACTTAGGATTGCTAACTCTCTCAGCAGAGTTCATAATGATAGTGAATTCGGGCTGACTGTTTGGGACATTCATTTTCTGCCTGGTGAAGCAACCCTCCATTTTACAGCAAAATGCCCTAAAAATGCAGAAAATGCTAAGCTAGAACAAACACTGGAATGATTTATGGCAAAATTAATGCATGCCATTAGGCTCTTGGGTTGTGACAGCCTTCTTGTCGGCTGCCTAAGTGCTAGATTTATGCAGTTTCTCCTCATGGTTCGCTCATCTGTCCTGTTCAGGCTGAGACAGTTTACACCAGCAAAGCTTGGTGGTGGCAGGCATTATTTCTTCACCTTACAGTCCAATTATTGAATGGATCTACCTGTTCAGAAATATAATAATTTGAGAAGTTTATGCATCATAGAAGCAAGTCTTTGCAGAATTAATAGGGTCAAATTGCCCTAGATACACCCACTAGAATGTTTTCGTGAGTGAATCCTGGATGATTTTCAACAGAGACTACAATTCTACATTTTTGCATATGTAGGTTCATGTCTTTTGCCCCTTTGTTCAGTGGATTCATTAAATTAATCCAAACATTCCGTTTCGCCACTGTATAAAAATGCAATCTCAAAATGCTGCTGAGTTTAATCTGAGCCTAAAGTCCAGTTCACCATTTCATTCAGAGGTTTAGCCCAGAGGTGGACAATTGTAACAACACCTGTGACAGCTATTGCTTCCTCTAATAGGTAATAGAGTTTGACGATGGATCTGGATCAGTTCTCAGAATACAGCCCTTACGGACTCCCCGGGATGAGGCCATTTATGAATGTGTGGCCTCGAATAACGTCGGAGAAATAAGTGTATCTACCAGACTCACAGTTTTGCGTGGTAAGTACTCAAGTGCAAGTTTGTTGCTCATGTCATTGTTGAAATTCTATATCCCAGATGTTCTATTGTAAAGACATCAAAAAGACCAGCATTGTCCTGACACTTACATTGGAAATGAATTGAAATCAAATGTTTATAAGAGCTCAACTTTTAAATAGACAGTGGATGACTTCTTTCACGAGTCTTGGAAAATGCAAATCAGAGAGAGAAAAGAAAAATCCCAAAGAAATTCTGATTTCCAATGCCAGATACCATTTTGATTTTTGGCAGAAAACCTTGAAAGAAAACAGGGTATGCTACTGTTTTACATGTTAGCAGCATTACTTGTGTATGGAGATTTCATACCGAACTCAGCAACTCCTTTTTACAAATGACTGATGTTTACAAAATGAAAGGAGCAACTTCTATCTTACGGATGAGTTGTTCTGAAGAAGAGGAATCAAAACAAGAAAGGCACCTTTCTTCTTTAAGTAAAAAATTATGTGTTTGTATTTCCGTCTTTTATATTTCTTGAACTAACATCTGTTGATGCAAAGTGACTCTGGCTATGTGGATTATGCAGTTTGACCAAAGCATGGTATGACATGGCCAATGTCCAGTACAGTGTGTCTGCTTCCTAGACTTTCTTTAGAATGACAGTAATAGAAGAAAAATAAAGGATAATGGTTAATAATACTGTGTTGTATGTATCTAAAGCAGGTTTTTGGATAGAGATAAGAACATTAATTGATGTGGCTTGCCTCATAGTTAATATTTCCAGACTAACTTTTGTACCTTTATCTATTTTTCTCTCACACACACTTCACTTGTTTTATTTTACTCTTAACTTTATTTTGCTTTCTTGCACAATTTATAAAAACAGGCTTTCTTAAGATGAAGGGAATTGGAAAGAAGGAATTGCATTTTAATAATTACAGGGGAAACATATAGATTAATAATATTTCTCCTCCATCTTACTTTTATTCCCATTGAGGGATTTACTTACTTTCCATGTTTTATAAATTCTAAGAACATTCCTTCTGGAATAATTTAATACCCAAATCAATTAGTTAATCCAAGAATCTTAGAATATTAAATTACTTACATGATGTGCTGAAATATATTTTAAATAATATAAACATCTTAGTCTAAGGAGGACATATGGAGCAACTGGATACAGATATTTGAAATGCATGTAACAGAATGCTGCTTAAAAACAAATAGGTCAGATTTGAGTTATATTACTGACCATTATGACAAGCTCAAGTTCATACAAAGTTCTTCATCCCCCTATCAACACATAGAAATATTGATAAAATATCTGAAAATTTAAATTAAATGCATGGTAGGCTTGCAAAGAAGAAATTTCCAAGGGTCAAAAAAAAAGAGACTCTCCAGAGAAGAATTCCCAAGGTAATAATCAAATGGATGATAGGCTTTCAGACTGAAGTTTATCTCTCCAGCAGGACACAGGCTTAAATAAAATAAGGTGGAAGTACGAGGAGAAAGATCGGTTTTTAGCATGAGGTGAGACTTCTAATGCAATATTCAGGACCCAGAGGCTAACCTAAAAGCTGGTCAGAAACAGTGAATCCCACCCTAACCGGTTTGGCTCAGTGGATAGAGCATCTGCCTGCAGACTCAGGGGTCCCAGGTTCGATTCTGGTCAAGGGCATGTACCTTGGTTGCGGGCACATACCCAGTGGGGAGTGTGCAGGAGGCAGCTGATCGATGTTTCTCTCTCATCGATGTTTCTAACTCTCTATCCCTCTCCTTTTCTCTCTGTAAAGAATCAATAAAATATATTAAAAAAAAGAAAGAGAAAAAAAGAAACCGTGAATCCCATAGAGTGTGGAACAGGCAGCCATGTCAACACTCACCTATCAGAGACATCCTCATTCCAGGGCATACAGCCCCGTATGAGATCATTCATGCCCCATTGGGCTCATGAGTTCCAATTCTACAGCACTAAAACCAGTTCCAGTTCACAGTGGACAGTAAGCCCAATCAATGAAAGTAGAAATCATGGTCTCTGAACTATGGATGATTGAGCTGCATGAATGTGTTTTAAAAAATAAATATTTTAAATACCTGAAAAGGTAAAGGAAGGAATAAAATGTATCAGACAAGAGTCAGACATTAGGAAAAAGGAGCAAACAGGAGCAGACTCCTGTTAGAAGTCAGATTTTAGAACTGAAAGGACCCTTAAACACTTTTATACAAATTTTTAATACAAACTATAAAAAGTATGTACATATATTAATATACATATGTATATATCCACATAAACATACATAACAGATCTGAAACTTGTAGAACCATTTATTCTGAAGCAAAATCAACTCATTTGTAGATCTTTTAATTTTTTTATTTTCATTTATTCACCTAGTTAAGAACTAAAGCTGTTATGTAGAAAGTGTATTACAAAGGTCTAATAAAGTGAAATTTACCAGAAACTTATTTTTTGCCTCTTGAGTTTCTTGAACAAATTCCTTAAAAGGAAACAATGATAGTCATTTGGCTTGACTTAATTTTTATGCATTTAATGAAGACATTAACAAAAAGTTGGAGGAAAATATGACTTCATGTAGACATTTACATGGATTTATGTTTTTCTGCCTCCCAGCTTACTGGGGTCCCCCAATCTCATCTGCTTTTATCTAACTAGCCCCCACATAAAACAAATCTATTGGGAAATTTTAATATGATGTTGACTTTCTATGGGAATATCTGTCACATGTGAGTACATTTGTATGAAATTTATGATTCTAGTAACACAGTAAAACCTTATTTTTTTAAAGACTAAGTTTAGCAATTTTGGAAATGTTTCATGAGAAAAACTCAAAGGTATTTTGGATAATGGAAAAGTAGTCTCAACATAACCTTAAAAATAGAATACTTTCATATATCCTTATAGGATGAAATAAATGGGTTCAGAAATTAGCTTTGTTTCTTAGAGTTACTTCTTCACTTAAACATTTTTAAATAACTATTGATAATTCTATTCATGATCATCTTTTAAAAGTATTCTAATGGTAAACTAACATTCCTAGAACATGAATGTCCTTAACAAGAGTGAAGGGTTTCACATCACACTTTGTGCCCATTTGAAGTTAGTTTTCTCTCACAGGTACCCTTGCTTTGCCGTGGGTGGAAACTGCTTTATACTTTGTCATCCGGAGGCCTAATCAGATGCTCATTTGGTCCACATGGGTCATTTACGTTTTTCCTCACTTAGCTGATCATGCCAAAAATGTGCCAACCGTCCTGATGGGTTTTGTCTAATTGGGCTGGATGGAGAGCACTCATTTATCTCACATAGGCTACCAGAGACCCTAATTAATTGCAGATTTAGACATCTAACCTGTGTGGCTAATGCAGAAGACGTTGAAAGAATACCCTGACCACCCATGTGCATTGAAGGTAGTATTTCAGGGGAAAGTTTCCCTCTGTAGTTCGTTTCCGATGGCCCTCGCTCTGAAAAACTGTTTTCATAAGGAAGGATAACTACAGGCTTGGGCTGAGCACGCCCTGGAATGAGCTATTCGGGCAATTACCACTTATACACTGTAGACTCGAGTTCCTAGAAGAAGTCTTGGAGGAAGGGGGAGTTAAATGTGGTAGTTACAGCCTCTAGGTCATTTTTCAAGTTTTTTGTGTGGCTGTGAAAACATAAGCAAATCCCAGCTCTCTAGTTCTGTGGTTTAGGAGGCAGAGCATATCCATCATACCACGTGTATTCCCTCCTCAGCAGAACTTTAACTGGAGGCCTCAGATATCACACAGAAGGTATTAAGGGCAGAGCCTAACTAATAGTAGAATTCTACTAAGGAGTCTGGATTGGATATTAGATTTCCAGTGAGGGGTAAGAGTAGGACCAGGGAGGGTGTTTAAAGAAGAGGGGATCATAAGCCAGAGGGGAATTGGTTCTTTCTGAATCTTTGGTTCATTGGTCACTATTTCTTTCTGACCAAAGATATCAGGATGTAAATGTCCCCTCTGTTATGTTATCAGCTACTGGGCATGGGAAAGGAAATAGCACCATCCAAAGACTTAGTAAGGCAGTCATGCCTCTTTCAGGCAAGCGGAAGGATATCAAGAATCCTTCCTTCTGGCTACATAATTCCCGTTCTATGAGAGAAGTTACAGAAAAATTAATCAAGTGTGCCTCTAATTATCTGACTAAATGTCATGTTCTTGAATTTATATTTTTATGTAGAAATTTGCACTTTGTTGTCATCCCAAACAGCATGTAAAATGTTATTTTTTTAAGTTTAGTGGATTTTTCCCCCCAAGACTTGCCCATTCCCAAATAGCACTGCCCCCCAGAATACCACCAGCAGTAACATAAAGTAGGATTAATAAGGGGTGGGGCAAATGTAGGTTTACAGTTGTGAGTATACAAAACACAGTTTATTCTTATGTATAATTTATTAATTATTGTATTATTTGCCACACACACAACTGTAAATCTACGTTTGCCCCATCCTGTATGTAACATTGTTTCTCTTATATACTCATAGGAAACCAGTTTGTCCATAGAACACATACAAAATAAAATTATTGTCTAAAAAAGTTAGGTGACCAAAAATGAGACAAATTAAGTTACCTAGTTTTACAGATATATTTTATGAAACAATACTTATATTTAGTATCTACTCCATATAAATGCATTATATTTTATGAATGACCATCATCAAGACATAAAACAATATACAAAAGTCCTCAAGTCTAAATCTCAAGTAATCTGAGTTTCAACTCTAGCTCTGCCTCAAAGTAGCTGTGCATTTGAGCAACTCTGTTAACTATCTTGATTTTTGGGTTTTTTCTCTCATACACAGAGAAGGGATTGGGTTGGTGAGTCCTCAGATCACTTCTCTCTAGCTTTCTAAGATTCAGTGACATGCCTATTTCAGCAAGTCAGTTCTTATAAGATGGAAAAAATATGCTCCCGGAAGGGGGCTGTTACTGAGAGATAGTAAAACAGAGAGTGAGACGTTGGATGAGACAGAGAAGGCATC